TGTGGGAAAGGAGCCGAGCCTAGCTGCAGATTGGTTTTGTTTCCTTCCTCTCAGGTCGACCACCGCTTCGGTCATCTGCTTAACCACTGGTCTAACAAACTGGCTATATGTCATCACCCAGGGTCCCTATTGGTCTTTTAGGCCTGAGACCACTAGGGCCCCTCACCCATAAAAAAGTAGATTTCTAGTTTATTCTCAGCCTGTATGGTGACTGACTGAAATCCTGACATGCAGTCATCGTTTCACTCATGGCGGCCATCTTGACTGTTGCTCGTGTGAGCCAGATAGCCGCTACACCAAACTGGCTCTCCACTACACCAAACTGGCTGAATCGGTTTTAAATGAAGGTAGAGTGCAAATTGGTGGAAGGGACATTAACAGTCTGAGATATGTAAATGTCACCACATGACTGGCAGAAAACAGTGACGAAATTAAACGACTCGAGCGTGTCCAGAAGAGGGCAACCAGGATGGTGAGAGGGTTGGAATCCAAGTCTTATGAGGAAAGGCCGAAAGAGTTGGGTCTGTTTAGCCTGGGAAAGAGAAGGCTTAGAGGGGACATGATTGCAGTCTTCAAGTATTTGAAGGGCTGTCATGTAGAAGATGGAGTGGATCTATTCTCTCTTGCTCCGGATTGCAAGATTAGATCTAATGGGTGGAAATTAAGTGGGGTGAGCCTTGTTGCTCTTTGGGGGACAACCCCACCACTCCCTAGAGCAGGGGCCCCCAACATGGTGCCTGGGTGCTCATTGACACTTTTTCTGGCACGTGCCAAGTGTTTTTAAGGGAGTGGGTGGGGCTTTTGCCCAGCAAAGCTTCTGATTGGCTACTGGAGATTCGATTGGCTGTGCAGATTTTTATAAATGTTGTTTTGGCAGCATCTGCCGCCACAGCACAAGGATCTGCGCTGTGTGACTGAAGTTAAGCTGTAAGAGAGTAAGCGATCACACTGCAAAAAAATCAAAAGGCAAAGCAAAGCTGTGCAAAAGATGGGACTCCACATGGGGCTGCCCAAGAGAGTCTGCAAACCAAGAAACCAGAAGGAGACTGAGACTGGGAAGAGCAGCCATGAAGGAGCTAGAAAAGATCCTTAAATGTAAGGATGTGTCACTGGAGACTAAGATCAAGATAACTCATTCTTTAGTATTTCCCATTACTATGTACAGGTGTGAAAGTTGGACAGCGAAAAAAACTGACAGGAAGACAGTCGATTCCTTTGAAATATGGTGTTGGAGGAGAGTTTTACGGATACCATGGACTGCCAAATAAGTGAATTCTAGATGAAATCAAACCTGAACTCTCCCTAGGAGCTAAACTAACTGAATTGAGGCGATAGTATTTTGGTTAAATTATGAAGGAGAAGAGAAGAGGAGACTGGATTTATACTCCCCCCCCCTCCGCTACCCGAAGGAGTCTCAGAGCGGCTTACAATCTCCTTCCCCTTCCCCTCCCCACAACAGACACCCTGTGAGCAATGTTCTCTCTAAGCTGAGTTAGTGTGAGCTAGCTCAC